TATGATCCGTGACAGTTAACAGATCTAAAGGTAACTTACGATCGAAAAATTTTAATTGGCACGTGTCCAGACATATCGTGTGACGAAAAACTATCCAAGGGGGGGGGCATGCCCGGGCATAGAGGGGCATGCCCCTAGGGGCATGCCCAATAATTTTCCCGTGCCCCCCACCCTATCCAGTTGTAACACTTACATCCGGGCAGGTTTCGTTTTGCTACGCCCCTTCAAACATCTCCTTTACGCATTCGGGGGAGGTTCATTCCATTGGTTTGTTCCAATGGTTTGGGTTGGGAAGAGCACCCTGTATCTGACATGAGAAGCATTGTTTACTACGAAGTTTTTTTAATTAAAGCCTGCGATTCTGATAGAGGAAGAGCTATGTATCTTATTTATACTGTAGATAAAAGAACCTTACTCACGAAATTCTATTTTCTCAGTCATGAAGAAAAATCAGATTGTGAATTTACTCAGTAGAAATGACTCATGTTGCTGAATGGATATCGTTACAAAAGCGGATATGAAATTGTTATAATCGTAAGGGAGTCAACACCGAAAAGAGGTTGCCGACGTTGTTATTGATACGGAATCGGAATAAGCATTGGATCCATTTTTTGTTATAAACTTTTTTTTTTTTGTGAAATAGGAACTAATTTTTTCTATTTTGTAATTCTTGATTCGATAGAGCGGTTGAAAGGTTGGAATGCGAATGTTACTAGGATCGGGTCGAGAAAATGGTAACCAAATGATAAGTAATTAGTTACACTTTTGCTCGGTATTCTTTTTTTGAAATAGAAACTAATTATTTTCTCTTCCATAGATTTTTGATTTGTTAGAGCGGTTGGAGCATGAACAGTATCTGGTTCTGGTTTTTTCTGAGCGTGCTTGTTTGTTTTTTTTGAAATAGAAATTATTTTCTCTCTATGTTGATCTTTGATTCAACACCTAAAGGTTCGGGAGTAAGTATTGGTTTCATTTTTCGTTGAGTGTTTTATTTTGGTAACTAATTTTCTTTTGTAGGTCTTTGATTCGCTAGAGTTGGAACACGAATGGTACCTAGAGATTTGGGAATAAGTATTGACTCCATTTTTCGTTGAGTGTTTTTTTTTTTTGGGAATTAATTTTCTTTTGTAGTTCTTAGATTCGTTAGAGCGGCGGTTGGAGCACGAATAGTACTTGGTCTTTCTTCATCAGAACTTTTGAATAAACAATAAGTATCAGATTATTCATTTTTTCGAAATAGGAACTAATCATCTTTTTTTTTAATATTTATGCTAAATGAATGCTAAGGATTCGAATCCGGAAATTTGGATAAACGATGATATAGTTTTTTTTTATTTTGAAAATAAATGGGGTATAAAATGTCCTATTTCTGTTTGAAAATTTAAAATCAGAAAACGAAATGAAGTTAAAATGAGTCACCTTTGTTTAACGTATAGTTACAAATGATACTATTGTAATAAATTAATAAAGAACTGCAAATTATCGCTTAATTTTTTGTAATGGTTCCAGTTTTTTTTTTTTTTTTTTTTTTTGAGAATATTATTATGAGTACTATTAGAATATTCTTCTATTAATACTTTTAAAATACTATTTACAGTATGTCTTTAATATGTAATTGATGAAATATAAAGAAAGAATTTTAAGTTTTTGAAAGAAAATTCACAATCGTAAAAGTATTAATTATTATTCTATAAATTTATATGAATGACTGATTTTGACTAATTTAATTCAAAATAAGATAAACAATTAAACAAAGAAATTTTTCATTAAACGCCATTCTAACTCTGAGATTTTATATCTACGTATTGATTATAGACCAAAAGTCGAAACCTAATTTTGATTTTTGAAAAAATTTTTAAAAACCAAATTGTAGACCGATGAAATTAGCAAAATTGTGAATATGAAAGGTTGTAAATTTACAAAAAACACCGAAATAAAAATAAATAAGATTGATATTTATTATTATTTGTAAATGATTTAGGAAAAAATTTTGCAGCACTTTTTCCCCATCAATTATAAACCACGGAATTAAATTGGTCTTAGAACAATTAATTTTATTTCATTAATAATTAATTTTATTTCATTAATAATTAATTTTATTTCATTAATAATTAATTTTATTTCATTAATAATTAATTTTATTTCATTATTAATAATTAAATTTATTTCATTAATAATTAATTTTATTTCATTAATAATTAATTTTATTTCATTAATAAAACATGTTGATAACATACTTTGCGGAAATCCTACATTTTTGCGATATCATTAAAATATTCTGGTTTTAGTGTTAAATTATTAATAATATAGG